TAAGCGTCGTGTGTACAACGCTGGATGCGCGTTTCGTGAAAGAGCGGGGGATACACGAATCCTGCAGGCTGCGTCGGGAATATATACATATACATATATACGCCGACTAGGACCGCGTCTTTTTTTTGCGTCTGGTCGAAAATTTAGCGCGTCGGTGAGGTTAAGCAATATCTCCGCTCCGCCGCTCCGAGAGACGCGTCTGAAAGCATCTGCGTAACGAGCAGTTCGTAAACAGTTATAGAAATCTGCGAGAGCAGTTGGAGGATAACTATAGAGACACGTCAAACGTAACTGTTTCATTTCTACGCGGTATAGACGCGGACGGAGATGGACAATCAAGCAAGAAATCATCTGCCCCGACGATCGTTATACGAGCAGCCAGTGGTAGCCAGTTAGTCCGCTTCGCTATCACGTAATTATGGTTAATTAACGAGGAGTGAATTAATGACATTGATGCATTGAGATCTCAAATAGCCGCGGAGAGTGGGTAGTCTATAACATGACCGATTGGAATTTCCTGTGCGTGGGGAAGAGGGGAAAGGGAAAAAATGGAGATCGCTAGATCCATTGATGTTTTGTTTGATACGACGGCTTCATCGTTTCTTGCTCGACGTGATCGTAAATCGTCTCTGCGGCGAGTTTTCAATATCTTCATGCGATACACCACCGTAATATCTCTTCTTGTCCATTGTATCGTAAATCAAACACGAGTGCTCTCGTCGTTCTCGTTGCATTTCGAAGCGAAATATCGTTTGGGCTCGCGAACTCTTTCAGACGGAACGTTCCTCGAAGAAGACGCGACTTCGAATTCCTTTCGCAAGTTATCGCGAGCGAGAAACAAATAAGAGATCATTAGTCTTGTAATCTGCCCTCTCACATCTGTGTGCTACACGCGATGTTGCAGGGACGAACTTTTTAAGATTCAATTCAACTTCATTGTTTTACAATACGTTATTTAAATCTGGAATTCTTAACGAAGTCATACTCGCGTCGAAATATATCATTTGCAGCAATGAGATGCGAATCGAGCGAGACGGAAATCCCGTGGAATTGAAAGTCGCATGCAAACGCGAAAGGCGGAGTAGCGTAATGTAACGCAGAGCCGAGGGAGAATATTTCTTGCCGAAATATTTGTCTGAATTTTCCTCGTCCCTACCGTTGTCCTTGCCCCGTTGCCGCCGGTGCACGACAAGAAACTCACTCGATTTCGTTCTGCAAAACAACGAAACACGCGGGAAACTTTATGCGCTCGGCTTTACGAACTGGAACCGACCTTCGTCCAAATCCTTCGTCGACGTCCTATCGTCGCGAATAAGGACTGCCGCTGCTCGCTCGAGGGCAATGCAGTTAATGGAAAATCCTGCGAAACGTTGTTTCCCAAAGTGAATCAACCAGACGAACTCTTTTCACGACGAAACCTACAATCGCGTAGAATTATCTTGTTTCTGTATTGTAATATAAATTTTGTATAACATGCAGCAGTTTTGAGAACGAAAAGAGATCTTCTGGTCTGAAAACTTAAATTGGTTTGGTATTCAGGAAAAGACCTGCAATCATCTTATAATGATCAATATTTCTTTTAAAGATAGAAAGACGAGAAAATATCGACAAATAGAACAAAAAAATATGTGTATATTTGATTCTCCCATTTTATTTGTTATAGGCGATTGCCGCGCGGTGCGTATCGATAAATTTTAATTGATCCCTTTTTCTACAGCCGATTTCAGTTCAGTTAATTGGAAAAGTTGCCGCGATTGAATCCGGACTGATGCACGAACGAAAACGCACTCGATCGCGGCCAATAATCTCTGTTTTTTTTTCTTCCTTTTTTTTTAATATAATCGACCCAGCAAGCTCGTCTCTTTTTAATGGCGGAATCAGCTCATTATTTTTACTACAATTGGAAATCGGTTAACGATATTATCTAATTTGAATTTTTTTCTCTGTAATCCCCAGCGGAGGCTTAAACATGGCTGCCTGTGTTAAATTAAAAAAGTTTTTAATTATCGAGATTTGATACAATTTAGTTCATGATTATATTAACATTTGCGCTTGCTACTTATCGAGAGTGGCTCGAGAGTAAATCGTTTGGCCGTTTCCAGGCGATAAAAACACGGAGAGTTAAACGATGACACCGATTACGTAACAGTATTTCCAGAATTGAACAGCAGTCGCATATATCTCCGATTTATATATATATATATATATATATATATATATATATATATCCGTTAGGAATTTTCCCTTCAGTTTCCTCGGTTAAAGAATTTATCTCGACGTATCGGATACACACTATACGTAGCTCTCTCGACGCGGAATCGCGGGCGTCGATGATCTTAAACGAAGAAGCACGAAGCGAGTATTGCAGCTCGTGATTGCAGCGCAAGAGGCGACCGGGATTCACGCGCGACCCAATTCGATTACAAGGCGATGTTCTGGTCGCAATTATTGCCGTGGCGCTAACCGCGTTACGCCGTGCGTTAGACCGAGGGGGCCCCACCTGCCGCGAGAGACATCCGGCCAATCCTGCATCGGCCAATCAGCTCCGACCGAGTTCGAATAACTATTCCAATTAACAGTAAATACGTACGGTACACACGAGCCCAGCGAGTCTCCCGAGGAGGACGTTTCGTTTGTTAATGGCTTCTCATAAAACGTTATTACAATCGCCTGCCTGAGTTGTATGTACCGCTTGCGTCATTAGCTCCTCAGATAAATATACGTATCGACAGGCCTCATCCACATAGATCGACAGCCAACGCGTCGCCCACTTCGCTTTGAATACATTGTCACGACGGCCGCGTGTATTTTGACGTGTACACCTCATCGATATCTGCTCCGTCGGAAAAATTACAGTGCGAGGACGTCAGTTAATTAATTTATTGCGAATGTTTATTGCCGGTTTAATGACTCGTTACACATTCAAAGCACGGATAGTTTTGTGTGGGAGCACAAAAGGAAAAGGATATGTTGAAACGGAAATGTAAAACAGCTTTCGGTGTTATATCTAGGTATATTTTGTTTTTATTGCAGCGTAATAAAGACGCGCACGTTGAAATATTTTAAGTAAATAATCCATTTAGCAAATTACGTTAATTAATTCGGAAACAGAATTTAAATGTATAATGCTCTCATGCAATATATTTCTGACATATTTAAAAAATTCGAGAACAAGGATTACATACCGGCGATTTAACGGCAGTAAATGTGGTCATAACAAAGTCATATAGTAATACTAGTAACAGGGACTGAGTTCGTATATCAGATCGAAGGATAGAGAGAGAGAGAGAGAGAGAGAGAGAGAGGGAGGGACGAAGCTAAAACAGCACTTTAAACAATTTATCGGCGGTACCTTTAGATCGACGTAATGGAAGGTTACATCCCTCGTATGCAACGTGTGGTAAACGATGTTTACAATGAAAATCGTGGTTTGCGGAGATCCGATCGACGTTATACAAACCAAAGAGAAAGAGGGATGGCTGCCACGTTAAAGATGGCGGGGGGAGGGGGAGCTGAGAGAGAAGGGGAGGAAGGGACAAAGGAAGAGAGAGAGGATGGAGAGGGAAAGAAGATGAATAGAGCCGCAGTTCGCTGCACCTGACTATTTATAACAAATCGATAGGTGCCGGCAACCGATGCGTTCCTCGCGTGCAGTGTTTCTCTTATTTGCGAGGATGGTTCTCGCGAACGCGCCTTCAAACGCGGTTGACCTTAGACGTAGCAAGTACTTCTGATTCCATTATGATTCTATAATTGTCAACAAATGATTTCTTTCTCGTCTGTCGTAATCTTACGATATTTAATCAAAAAGTTAACATTAGATTGCGTAAGACAAACCTTATTGCGCCTAACGATCCGAGAACGTGATATAATTTAACCTGCGCGGTGACTCACTGCACTGTCAGTTCCGATGATGTAAAAAAGCCACACTTAAGTCTGCACGTTATCGTCGCGGTGCATTAGTCATCGAAGGCCACTAGCGAGGATAAATAATAATCATTTTACGCTAATGACTAATTGACCGTTGTTACCGTTGACCGCAAAACTCCTGCTGGCTTTACATTCGCACGTATCTCACATTCGTATTATTCTCAGATACTGCACGAGTAGTACCAGTCTTTTCGAACAGATAAACGCGCGCGTTGGCGAGAAGTTCGTTCGTAAGTCGTACGTGTTGCAAGTTTGTTGTGCATATAATATACATCGGAAAAGTGAACGAAACTTCGCGTAGAAAGACAGATAGTCTCTCGATATACTAGCGGAGAATCCGCAATCGTCTCGTTCGAACCGCCCGATTCGCGGTATCATAAACAATCACGCTGATACCAACTGCTACATCCGCGGTTTTGCCGTTGTCTTCCATTACACGCGGTGGGTGGATTCGCCCGACGAAATTAACGGGGAGAAAGTCCGAGAAGTCTTTTTCGCTCATTCGATTGCGCTTCGGTTACACCAGCACGCGGTTTCCCACGGAATTCGCAAGCCGCGCCGGTATCTTCGCGGTGCACTCCGTGTCGGTCCGGCAGCCGCCGCGCCGCGCCGGAATGAAATTAGTCTTTCTTCGTGGAGCAATAAGTCGTCCGTTGTGTACGTGTGTATACGTTCGAGTTGGATGAAAGCTGAGCCGAATTTTTTGACGCTTCAGTGTTAAAGTCGAAGCGCAATTTATTACGCGGCAGCCGTTGCAATTTCCACAAGCATCTCTCGGTGAAAGACTATCTTTTTGTAAACTCTGTTAATCTTCAGAGGAGCGAAAGAGGTTGCGAACTCGCTGAAACGGGTGTCTTCGCGTTAAGATAAGAGCGAAATATAGAGGAAACGTCGAAAAGTGGAAAACTCTTCCTCGAGAGGGAAATTTATAGATTTCGAGAGAATATTCTCCAATTCTACAAGAGTTATAAAAAGTTTGAAGGTCTCTCCATCCACCAGGCACAGCCGCGATTTTACTCGCGTTTGTTATTGACTGTCGCGACGAATCGAACGCGCGCGCGATATTTTAGCTCGGTCAGTCGACGAAGTGGACGACGAATCGAGTCATGCGGCGAAACGAGGAGTAGTGAGGTCGGCGCATTTTCGAAAGAGACCGTCTCTCCGCTCGTTCCGCGTGCTTACGGTGCGCGCCGGTACAGACATTCGACATGTTCGCCGCGATGGTGCTGCACAAGCATAACAAGCACAACAATGGGAACCACTCGAATCATCATCACGCCAGCAACAACAACTCCACTACCAATTCCACCAGCAATCACCTCAACAACAACAATCACATCAATAACAACGTCAACAACGTGAACCAGGCGTACAGCACGAGGGCGGTAAGTGCAGGAGCTTGTACACTTTCGGCGACGAAATTTTGTGTCCGCGACGTCCCTCATACGTTTCAGCTTTCTCATTAAAATAATACCTCGCAATCATGCAAAGAGAGAGTATCCAAGTACTTCAGATATCATTTGTATAATAATTTTCAACGAGAAAGTTGGAGCTTGCTCGAGTTTTACGGCAACAGAAAAAAAAAAGAGTATAAGCCTCACCGTTTGACAACACATCCGTTTGAGGCAAGGAGGCTGCAGAGGCCCGCTTTTCAATTTGATCAAGTATTTCTTTATGACGGCGCGTTTCTATACGGAGGAGATTATTTGCGCGATCGCGCGGGAGAGCAGTGAGTCGCGAGTCGTTAGATGCAAATTTCGCGTCTCTTCCAGCGGGACCGTATTTCTCAGAGCGACTCGTCCCGCGGGTACCAGGCTTTCGCAGGCTTCGGCAAGATTTAGAAGGATTTTTATCAGCCAAGCGAAAAGGCTCGGCGGGGGTTGCTCCTTTCGATCGGGAGCGAGAGAGGACGCGGAGAAAAGAAAATTTTTCCCGCTCGGAGGGAAATCACGTTTACGGCGCAAAGGGTGAGTCTTATCTTTCGCGTTGCAGAAACGATCCCGAGGAAAACGCGATGATTTCGCTGACATCGCGGACGACTTTATACGGAGCGCGACGGTGGTCGCGAATTTAGTTTTTATCCTATTTTTTTCCTTTCTTTTTGTCATTCTTTCACTCCATTTCCTCTCGTCTCGTCTGTATGATATTCATCGTTCTGATTTCGCTAAAACTAGCTACGCGTGAAAAATCTTCTTTATGACACGGCACAAATCACGTCCCTTTTCTTATTTGTCGCTTTTTTTCGCACAAGAATCTTTATAGAATATTCTTTCGTTATTATATATTAAATACAATAAATTCTCGTTATGTTTAATATTAAAACGTACAGAGCAGAGATAATGTTAAGCAGAAATTTTCATTGGACAATAATTCTCCTTCAATTCGAGACAGTTGTGCCGAAAGACTCGTCAGAGGAGTGATAAATTGGAAACTGAAAATTTAAACGTGATTGTAAACGCGGCGCTGTGGTTAAATATAAATCCCACCGCACACAGTATTACCCGGTGTAGCACACGACGGAGGATTATATCGGTTTAATATTTTAGAATCCTCCCCGCGAATCTTCTATTTCATGCGGTTCGTTAAAGTGGCGCAAGGTATTTCAGTTTCAATTTCCCAGGGTACACTCGACTGAAAGATTGGAAATTGAGAATTCAGCGAGTGGTTGGGTATCGAAACATTTCGAAATATGGTCGCGGGAATCGGCACGATGTAACGCGATGTGACAGAATTTGTTTTATAGAAGCGGTAAAGCGTGGTGAGCCCCACTCCGACGGCGGATAGGATATCGTCCTGTTACGCGAAATCTATTTTTTGAAAGCTGATATTGATTTTCGGTATTTATACTCTTGCACACGGTCGATGTTGATTCTTTTGTCCAACGTAAAATTGTTGTCCACAGAAATTGTTTTCTTGCGAATTGCAGGTTCTTTTTCTTTTATCGTTTAATTAGAATGGTCGGTGGAAATTAAAATTTTATCTCTCTGTTTTGCCGCATTATTGTTACAATTTTCATAAAATGAAATGATAAACATCTAGCGATATGAGATCTCCGGAATATCCGCTTATTTTCGCCTTCCACCATTTTATTTTCGAATTACGATCGGAGTTTATTATTCTGCGGCGCGATCTGCATCCTGTTTGCCGGGCAGTTTTTTTTTTTTAGTAGACAGTAGGGGGAGGGGTGATATACTACGAATAAGTTAATTGCATCTGTCGGTCCACCCTTCCTCAAACCAAGTCGGAACTCCGAGAGGGTTGTATGCAAATGAAGTAGCGAGATTAAGTCCTTTGTGCTATTCGATCCTGATAACGAGCATGTTAAAGGATTCGCTATAAATTAACAACTAGATTAAACCGTTCATCGCCTTTACATCGCCTTTCGTGACCTCTTCGTCTTCCTATCTTCGTCATCCCCCTTGTGTCTGAAACAATCTATCGGCGAGACGTCTGTCTGAGTTTTCCGAATATTTTATTTTCTTCAAGGAAGATTTCATTTTACGAACATGTGATGCGATACCGTCGCGACAGCCTGGAACTAGTTTTATAAGAATTTTGCGATAAAAAATATCAGTATACACTGTTAAATCTATAGTGTCAAATTCAACTCCATTTAAGTCGCCACTGATCCTACTTAATATATATAGTTATTTTTAAATAAAACAATAAAATTTAACCCAAATTTGGGTTAAATTTAAACTGTTTTAAATTATTTAACTCTATTGTTTTACATTAAAAATGACTATATATTAAGTAGGAGCTGCAGTAGCGACTTAAATAAGGTAAAATTTGACACTATAGATTTAACAGTATAATATTGACGATATTATCAAAAAAATTAAGAAATGAAAAGTTATTCATAAAAGCAGATAATTTGATGAGATAGATTAGATTCCTGTAATCGCGTATTATACAATCTCGTATAGCAGCTAAAATAACTTTTAAGATTTGTTATTATTCCTATTATTATGGCGATGCAGTCGTAATGTGGTTTCGCTCGGTTTATTTGATCTCTCTTTGGAAGGTAGAGTGTAAGTGGCTAAATAAACTTTGCCCCCCCCCCCCAAAAAAAATAGAAAAAACAAGGTTCTCACGTTCCACCGGCCCTTATAAACGCGCTCGAGGGGTAAAAGCGCCGCTATATGATAAAAGACAAAGGCAGTTAAATATATCAAGGTGAAGTGGAGTATAACTCGTTTTGACCGAAAAGAGAAAGAGAGAGAGAGAGAGGCCTCTCCATCCCCCGAATCGGCCGAACTCCCTTGTTGTTACGTTGTATCTTCCTACCTATCTTTTCACCCTTCACTCTCCGCGTCGTTTCTCAACCGCCGCGTAATTCGATTTCGAAGCACGGCCAGACTTCGCTTTGTGCGACTTCTCGGGCCCTTGTCGACTTGAAATAACTTCGCAAAGGGTTTCGATCTCCTTTGGTCGTGTGGCTAGATCCCGTGTGTGCGATATATTATATCAAACAGTACGAGTTAATGCCTGAAGGCAATAAGTGTTTCGTGAAAAATCGGTAGCTTCGCGAGTCTAAGCTTAAAAATATGATTTATAACTTGAGTTATTCTGCCTTGAAGGATAAAACTTCAAAGCGATTGTCTATTAGATTTTCCTCTCATGTTTCTTTATGAAAGAGTAGAATTTTAATAACTTATCAAAATAATATTACACACAAAAATTGTTTACTGAAGGACTCTGGCGAGTTCAGCGGACCAACAAAGGATGGCTATGATTAAAAATGTCAGCTGTGATTAAAAACGTAGCCTTTAATCCTAGATGAAAGGATAGAGAGGAAAGTCGATTGCATAACAGTGAAAACCAATCGGTTAAGACTCAAAGAAAGAAGGGATCTGGATTGCGCTTTTCAGGATGACGACCCTATTACGAGAGATCAATAAACTATTATTTCCAGCCCAGGCGGATGAATAGTCACCGGATATCAATATTTCCGTCGTAATAAATATTCAGAGAGAGAGAGAGAGAGAGAGAGAGAGAGAGATTTAGACTAAACCCTCCCCTCCCCCTTTGCGAATGTATAAGCCGTATATACGAACTATCAATTCTTTACGCGTGCAATTTCTTTTTCATCGAATCGAACACGTTCGAGTTATTATGCAAAATTATTCATTCGTCCGTGTTTGTATTATAACGATTTTATGTCGAACGCCGTTGTGTCTAGGAGGAAGAGTTTGCAAAACGTTGATGCGTTCCTGCATTAACGCGTCGGCGAAGCGAGACGGATCCATCGGCCCGAAAATTCACCCTCTCGCCGACCGAAGGGATAATGTTAAGGGGGAGGGGGAAGAGGGGGGGGGAAACGCGGCTGGACCGCATCTCGCTCGCGTTACCAAGGTTATGCTTGGACAATCAATGGACCCGGCTGTAATCAGCGCGATTATAAACGGTGTTCGCTTAACGCGCCGTCGGTCGCCATCATTAATGCCCGACAAATTGGCCGGCCATGCCGCTTTTGCAAATAGCTAGCGCGCCGATGGGAAAAACGCCCGTCTACGTCATTACGGCATTGATCGTCATTTCCGGGACGGAAGGTGATTACCAGCAGCCGCGGCAGAGCGGGAGACAGAGCAGCGTCAGACCACCAGCCGCTCGTCGACAATTTCGAGAATGACTCCGAGCTCGTTCGCTATTCGCGTAATTGGCTCGCGAATTAGCTCGTGCACGGGTATCTGATCTTCTTCCATGCTTTTAATTACGCTCCGTCGCTCATTGTATACTCGACGCGAATGATTTTAGATTGACTTTTGTCCGTATTATCGCCCGTCTCGTGCTCAATTACGGGTTGTGTTCATCGTAGTTACACATCGCATGTTGAAATAATTAAATACAGTGTAAAGACGTGATTAAAGGCTCGACACGTCGTTCGTTAAATAACGCGAGATAAGAATATCAAGCTTAATTCGTGACACGGTGCTCCGCTCTGTCGTATAGGATAATAAAACAGGAAACGGCGCGGGTCATGGCAATTATTTTATGGCTGTCATAACGGTCTTCTCCGTAGGTTTTATACAGATATAAACTACGAAGTTTCGCGACACGTCATAGCGCGTCGCGCGCTCTTCTCCGTTAGCTTCTACCATCTATATAGTAAGTACCAAGCGCCAACTCTCTCAAATCCATAAAATATACGAATCCTTTCCTGTAATACTTGTATTACGAATGTCGCATAAATGCTCTTGTACGAGTATATTGTCGCATTACCAGTCGTCGTCTGGTCGCCTTCTGACATGTGTGTATGAGAGTAAAGCATGTGTTCGTATTCGAGAAATACCATCGAATAACATGGGTGTGATTCAAAAATTAATTTCGTGTGTATTCTGATTTTGCAAACTGCATCAGATTCTCTCGTCTCGTCGAACATTTA